GCGCATACATAGTGGTGAAAAGCCATTTTTCTGTGATGTATGTAATAAGTCATTCAGTCAGCAGAGTACTCTGAAGACACATCAGCGCATACATAGTGGTGAAAAGCCATTTTTCTGTGATGTATGTAATAAGTCATTCAGTCAGCAGCATGAGCGCATACACAGTCGGGAGCAGCCATTTTGCTGTGATATATGTAATAAGTCATTCAGTCAGCAGAGTCATCTGAAGAGCCATCAGCGCCTACATCTTGATGTGTGCAGTAAATCATAGAACAGTAGATATGAGTTTAGCCTAAAGGAACAGTATGTGAGTTGTAGCATGCCACAGTTTTAATGTTGTAAGTAACACAGGTTTGCTGTGTGTGGCATGGTTTGATTTTGTAGAATGCTACAATATATTGCAGTTTATTGCTGTTGCTAACCTTTCTAACTGACGTATAATGAACTGAGTCCCATTGTACAAAACATCTGTGCAAATGATTTCCATTTTATTCTGACTGATGAATATGCACAAGGATCTCTCTTGTTGAGTGGAAACACACATTACAAGACATGACATGACGTTCTCCTGCAGTTATGTTAATTCAGCATTGGAAGCTCATGATTAGTAGAGTGTAATCACTGAAATCGATCAACAGTTTATACACGTAATTCAGCAGTATCATTTGCTTTTTGCTGTGTTATCTGTGCTCTTCTGCCATTACATGTGAGTAAATTTGTTGATCAGTTAGTTTGAGATCAATATATCGCCTGAAGATAACTGTTATGGATTGGTCAGATGAATACAAATTATGCTGTACTGGACATTGCAGTCAAGATATATTTCTGCGATATACTTGGTATATTGATTATAAAAAGGAAGTTAAATCAAGGTTTGATTTTGCTTATTGAGAACTAAAGTAGTACAGAGACTTTAATTAAAAGGATCATGAAAGAATTGCTTACATCTTTTTGTTGTGGATATCAGCAGAGAAACTGAGCTGTAATGAGATCAGAAAGAAAAGTGGTTTGGTACTGAGACACTCCTTTTTGCTTTAGGTCTCCTTTGCATTAGAGGGAAAGAGTCAGCTGAAAATGTGAAATATTCTTTAATAAAATTAGGCAATATCATTAGTATTATTAATTGGTATTCAGAGGTTTCATGTAGTGGAGTGACACAAGAGGAATAGCTTTCAACTGTACTTAAATTCAGTGCAGTTATGCCCCCCCCCCTCCATATCCATTTTCTTTACTGCCTGAATGATCTGCGTCATAACTGAAGCTAATTCTCTTATTACCGACACTTTCTTTCCAAGGAATGCTTGCTTCATTTTGCATAAGATGTACCAAACATTCATCCCTCAATAACTTTGCATCAGCAGAGCTCTTCCTCATGTGTTACCACATGTTGTCTGTTGCTGCATCACCAGAACTGACCCTGTTACATGGTCCTGGAATATGTGTTGCATTTTGTGTGTCTTCACCATTTAAGTCGTGGGCAGCACATGAATGGGTTTGCAAGTTGCAGTTGTCCTCAGAAAAATGTGAAGGTAGGCTGATGCTGTGTATTCTGTATGCTTAAAGAAGAGAATATGGAGTGAAATTATCTGGCTCATGATAGGGGCCAGTGTCTGGCTGTGAATGGTTGTGAACCCTTGCATTCCATAACATGTTTTTAATTCACTGAGTAGCTGAGCAGCTAGTAGCTTCTCTGAAAAGGTGCAGCTGGGTGAAGTTGGTTAATATTTGACATTAGATCGTCTAGATTGATTGTCTGGAACTGGAATTTGGTGTTGATTCCATCCTGCTGAAGCAACCCAAATCTGTCTCAAATGGCCAGCAAATCTGGGTTCACCCGTTATATACATTGGGGTAGTACAGTATGCTATGTATATATATATAT